CTAAGATGGGTAAGGCCTTTAACCCATCCAAATCTACATCATAGATTTCATATGTAGATGCAACAAATCTTTATGGCAGGACACCATGTCACCAGGATGCAGTATGTGGTGCAGTAGTTATGTGAGTGTGACCTCGAGGTTACATACAAATTTGAATTATGATATTCTTTAATATAGGTTGATAAAAAATTGTTATAAATTACTAAAAATGCTATAAATCAATAAAACATTAATTTGTTAATAAATATGACTAATACAATCATTATTGATAAGATTTATAATAAATCCGTACCCAAACCTGTTAATTTTTATCCAGGATATGATTTGGACTATGTAATAAAGGATTTAGCAAATTGTAATAGCTATAACTATAACCATATTGAAAACATGTGTAAAATAGAAAAAAAGTATGATAACTTAGCTATTATCAGACTCCACAAAATACCTCAACAGTGGGTTATTCGTATAAAAGAAGATTTGCAAGAATTACATTCTAGAGAAAGACCTAGTATCTTTCATATATACTGCCTTTTTGGTTATTTGGACAAGGAAGTATTAGAACATATCTTGAAAATCACAGACTGAAAATAGAGCATATTAGCTATCGAAGACCTAAAATTCATAAAAGTCAGATAGCTATATGCTTCAAATGTTGGAGATTAGTAAAGATTAATGAAGTAAAACCAAAAAGAGTATATTGGGAAGAATGGCATCGATGGGATTATGAGATTAAATCCAAGGATTTGATGCAATATCATTGGGATAATGAATGCTTCAAAGCTAATATCCAAGATAAAAGTATACAGATAATTCAAAATATTATACCAATCGAGTCTATAAAAATCAAGAGCTTTACATCTAGTTTGATTAATGAGCCACATTTATTAACCCCTTTACCATTACCGCCAAAGCCTTTTGAATACATATAATACAAGTACACTCAGCTTTATTGATGAGTACTGGGTTTCTGTATGAAAATTAATTAACTTATTTCTATTTTGATAACAGTTACCAACTTTAAGTAATCTGATTGGCAGATATGTTTTAATAATTATTTTGTGCAAATTCTAACTAATTATATAAACTTCTTGTCGATCTTTAGCTTTAACTCCATTTTGGAACACTATTTTAATATTCTTTTTTACATTATCTATAATATTCTCTAAACTCACTATATTGGTTAACATTTTAGTAATTTAATCTTTAACTGAATATTTAATCAATTAAATAATTATTATATCAGAAAAAAATATTAATTATATAACCCAATGACTTGACTACTTATCTAACTTATGCAGGTGAGCTAGATATATGAGACATACATTCGTTTTGATATTTTTCTGGAAGTCTACTTCACATGGCTCTTTTTTCAGCCTTCTCATATGGTATATTATCTTTAACCATATTTTTATATACTCTTATGCGCTAATGGTTATATGGTAAAGAGGTAACTCCATCTGATAATAGCCAACATTTAGTATCTATGGGCAAAGAGCCTTCTTTTCTGACTCAACCAAGAATAATATATGATCTTTTGATTGAATACCTATATTTTTGGCATAGAATACTTCATTTTCAAAGAGACAATCATGATAAACTTGGGTTATTGGATTGAAGATCTCAGCTTTGTCTACTGTTTCATCAAGAAGAGAACTACTTAGAGTTGGGAAGTATGTTTCACTAGCCATTTTGCTCATACCCTTTTTACTAACTCCTTTATGCTTAGACTTTATAGACTTATCAGCCAAGACATAGTGATAAGACTTAGCCTGAATATGATAGAATTCTGTAATCACATTTCCTGGAGTTTTATCTTTAAATTTGCTAATAGTTGCATTCCATTAAGGTTAAAGTGATCAGCTTGCTCAGCCATATCCTTATAGATATCTTCAGTCTCAACTTGAAATATAAAAGAGTCTGTATCCATATATCCAAGCTGGGCTTTATTTCCATATTTTTCTTTTATATACCCATACCAGAAGCAATACATTAAAAGTTTGCTAAGGCCTAGAACTGATGCTCCGACAATAATAGGCATGTTGAGAGTTACAGTGGCCTTTCCCATATGTGCTCCTACAAGTGTATTTCCAAGCTGTCTAGCACACTTGAAAGAGGGCTTACAAATCTGATAATCTGATTAATAAATTTCTTATCATCTTGCTTATTATTCATAGCTATGAGCTTGACGTCTTGGTATTTAAATACTGGCTCATGGTCCAGCCATAAAGATTTGTTGCATCTACATATGAAATCTATGATGTAGATTTGGATGGGTTAAAGGCCTTACCCATCTTAG